GAGGGTCCCAGAGGACTGGAAAATCGCTAACATGACACCCCTGTTTAAAAAGGGAATAAGGCAGACGGCTGAAAATTACAGGCCAATTAGCCTAACCTCGGTCATGGATAAGATTTGAGAGTCCATCGTGAAGGATGTGATTTCTGAATACTTGGATGGTATAATAGGGCAAAGTCAGCATGGCTTCATCAAGGGAAGGTCATGCCTGACAAATCTGTTAGAATTCTTTGAGGAAGTAATGAGCAGGTTAGACCAAGGAGAACCAATGGACATTATCTACCTGGACTTCAAGAAGGCTTTTGACAAGGTGCCACACAGGAGGTTGCTGAGTAAGATAAGGGCCCATGGTGTTCGAGCCAAGGTGCTAGCATGGATAGAAGATTGGTAGTCTGGCAGAAAGCAGAGAGTGGGGATAAAAGGGTCTTTTTCAGATGGCAGCTGGTGACTAGTGGTGTTCCACAAGGCTGAGTGTTGGGACCACAACTTTTCACTATATACATTAATTATCTAGATGAAGGAACTGAGGACATTCTGGCAATGTTTGCAGACGATACAAAGATAGGTAGAGGGACAGGTAGTGCTGAGGAGGTGGGGAGGCTGCAGAAGGATTTGGATAGGTTAGGAGATTGGGCAAAGAAGTGGCAGATGGACTACAATGTGGGAAAATGTGAGAACATGCACTTTGGTAAGAAGAATAGTGGTATGGACTATTTGATAAATGGGGAGTAAATTCAGAAGTCTGAAGTGCAAAGAGACTTGGGAGTTCTAGTCCAGGATTCTCTCAAGGTAAACTTGCAGGTTGAGTCAGTAGTTATGAAGGCAAATGCAACTTCAGCATTTATTTTGACAGAACTTGAATATAAAAGCAGGGATGTACTTCTGAGGCTCTCGTCAGGCCACATTTGGAGTATTGTGTGCAGTTTCGGGCCCCATATCTCAGGAAGGATGTACTGGCCCTGGAGCGGGTTCAGAGGAGGTTCACGAGAATGGTCCCAGAAATGAATAGCATAACCCATGAGGAATGTTTGAGGACTCTGGGTCTACACTCGATGGAGTTTAGAAGGATGAGGGGGGATCTAATTGAAACTTACAGAATACCGAATGGCCTCAACAGGGTGGATGTTGGGGAGATGTTTCCATTGGTAGGGGAGACTAGGATCCAAGGGCACAGTCTTAGAGTAAAGGGAAGACCTTTTAGAACGGAGGTAAGGAGAAGTTTTTTAGCCAGAGAGTGGTGAATCTATGGAATTCACTGCCAGAGAAGGCTGTGGAGGCCAGGTCATAAAGTATGTTTAAGACCGAAATAGATAGGTTCTTGATTGTCAACGGGATCAAGGGTTACAGGAGAAAGTGGGAGAATGGGATTAAGAAACTGATCAGCAAACGATTGAATGGCAGAGCAGACTCTATGGGCTGAATGGCCTAACTTCTGCTCCTATGTCTTACAGTCTTGATACAATGGTCTCATCTATTTTTCTAATGTTTGTTCAGTTGTGGAGAGTTTAACTTCATCATAATAAGTGTATGTCAAATTTTAAAAACTTTCAGAAATGTTCATGTGGTTAACTGCAAGCATTGCTTTAGTGTCACTGAAAATACAACTTTCACTATCATAGATACTGCTTTTGCGCTGCTTCCAATAACACTTCAATCCAAGTTTAACAAAGCTTATTTACTACATCTCCCAGAGGAAAATGCATCATGCTGAAAAGGACATTGCAACCGTGTGGGACTAGGCAAGTGGACAAGTTAGATAAACCAGATCATTTTCTTGTCAGAGATAGTAGAAACTGCAGATGATGGAGAATCTGAAATAACAAGGTGTAGAGCTGGATGAACACAGCAGGCCAAGCAGCATCATAGGAACAGGAAGGCTGACGTTTCGGGCCTAGACCCTTCAACAGAAATGGGGGATGGCAAGTGGGTTCTGAAATAAATAGGGTGAGAGGGGGAGGCGGATAGAGGAGAAGATAGGTGGAGAGGAAACAGGCAGGTCAAAGAGGCGGGGATGAAGCCAGTAAAGGTGAGTGTACGTGGGGAGGTAGGGAGAAGATAGGTCAGTCCAGGGAGGACGGACAGGTCAAGGGGGCGGGATGAGGTTAGTAGGTAGGAGATGGGGGTAGGGCTTGAGGTGGGAGGAGGGGATAGGTGAGAGGAAGAACAGGTTAGGGAGGCGGGGACGAGCTGGGCTGGTTTTGGGATGCGGTAGGGAGAGGGGAGATTTTGAAGCTTGTGAAATCCACATTGATACCACTGGGCTGCAGGGTTCCCAAGCGGAATATGAGCTGCTGTTCCTGTAACCTTCGGGTGGCATCGTTGTGGCACTGCAGGAGGCCCAGGATGTACATGTCGTCTGAGGAACGGGAGGGGGAGTTGAAATGGTTCGTGACTGGGAGGTGCAGTTGTTTATTGCGAACCGAGCGTAGGTGTTCTGCAAACCCACAGACTTCGCCGACGCAACTCCGCCCACCGCCTCCACAACCAGCAGCTCCAGAGGAGACAGCAACACTCAGCCCTGCCGGGTCTTCACCATTCCCCCTAAACCTCCTCCTTACTGAGGACGAACGGTCAGTCCTCAGTAAAGGGCTCACCTTTGTCCCCCTCCACCCAAACATCAACGAATACCGGTCACGTTTGGACATTGAGCAGTTTTTCCATCGCCTCCACCTCCATGCTTACTTCTTCAACCGTGAACCTAACCATCCCTCTACTGACCCCTTCTCCCGCCTCCAACACACCACCCCAAGGCTTCCTACCCTCCCTCGACCTCTTCATCTCCAACTGCCGTCGAGACATCGATCGCCTCAACCTCTCCACCCCTCTCACCCACTCCAACTTTTCCCCCGCAGAACGTGCAGCCCTCCACTCCAATCCCAAGCTCATCATAAAACCCGCGGACAAGGGAGGCGCAGTTGTAGTATGGTGCACTGACCTCTACATCACCGAGGCCAGATGCCAACTCTCTGACACCACTTCCTACCGCCCCCTTGATCATGACCCCACCCCCGACCACCAAACCATCATCTCCCAAACCATCCACAACCTCATCACCTCAGGTGACCTCCCACTCACAGCCTCCAACCTCATCGTTCCCCAACCCCGCACCGCCCGCTTCTATCTCCTTCCCAAAATCCACAAACCTGACTGCCCTGGTCGACCCATTGTCTCCGCCTGCTCCTGCCCCACCGAACTTATCTCCAACTATCTGGACTCCATTTTCTCCCCCTTGGTCCAGGAACTCCCTACCTATGTCCGTGACACCACCCACACCCTCCACCTCCTCCAGAACTTCCAATTCCCCAGTCCCCAACACCTCATCTTTACCATGGACGTCCAGTCCCTATACACCTGCATTCCCCATACAGATGGCCTAAAGGCCCTTTGCTTCTTCCTGTCCCGCAGGCCCGACCAGTCCCCCTCCACTGACACCCTCATCCGCTTAGCCGAACTCGTCCTCACCCTCAACAACTTCTCTTTCAATTCCTCCCACTTCCTACAGACAAAGGGGGTGGCCATGGGTACCCGCATGGGCCCAAGCTACGCCTGCCTCTTTGTCGGTTACGTGGAACAATCCCTCTTCCGTACCTACACTGGCCCCAAACCCCACCTCTTCCTCTGTTACATTGATGACTGTATCGGTGCCGCCTCATGCTCCCACGAGGAGCTCGAACAGTTCATCCACTTCACCGACACCTTCCCTCCCAACCTTATGTTCACCTGGACCATCTCTAACACCTCTCTCACCTTCCTGGACCCCTCTGTCTCCATCTCGGGCAACCACCTAGAAACCGATATCCATTTCAAACCCACCGACTCCCACAGCTACCTAGAATACTCCTCCTCCCACCCACCTTCCTGCAAAAATGCCATCCCCTATTCCCAATTCCTTCACCTTCGCCGCATCTGCTCCCAGGATGAGGCATTCCACTCCCGTACATCTCAGATGCCCTCGTTTTTCAAGGACCGCAACAACCCCCCCTCAGTGGTCGAGAACGCCCTCCACCGTGTCTCCCGCATTTCCCGCAACTCATCCCTTACACCCCCTCCCCGCAATAACAACCAAAAAAGAATCCCCCTCGTCCTCATGTACCACCCCACCAACCTCTGGATCCAACGCATCATCCTCCGACACTTCGGCCATCTGCAATCAGACCCCACCACCAAAAACATTTTTCCCTCCCCACCCTTATCTGCTTTCTGGAGGGACCACTCTCTCCGTGACTCCCTTTTCCGCTCCACTCTCCCCTCCAGCCCCACCACACCCGGCACTTTTCCCTGCAACCGCAGGAAGTGCTACACCTGCCCCACACCTCCTCCCTCACCCCCATCCCAAGCCCCAAGAAGACTTTCCAACCATTTCAACTCCCCCTCCCATTCCTCAGACGACATGTCCATCTTGGGCCTCCTGCAGTGCCACAACGATGCCACCCGAAGGTTGCAGGAACAGCAACTCATATTCCGCTTGGGAACCCTGCAGCCCAATGGTATCAATGTGGATTTCACAAGCTTCAAAATCTCCCCTCCCCCTACCGCATCCCAAAACCAGCCCAGCTCGTCCCCGCCTCCCTAACCTGTTCTTCTTCCCACCTATCCCCTCCTCCCACCTCAAGCCCTACCCCCATCTCCTACCTACTAACCTCATCCCGCCCCCTTGACCTGTCCGTCCTCCCTGGACTGACCCATCTCCTCCCTACCTCCCCACCTACACTCACCTTTACTGGCTCCATCCCCGCCTCTTTGACCTGCCTGTTTCCTCTCCACCTATCTTCTCCTCTATCCGCCTCCCCCTCTCTATTTCAGAACCTCCTTCCCATCCCCCATTTCTGATGAAGGGTCTAGGCCCGAAACGTCAGCCTTCCTGCTCGGCCTGCTGTGATACATCCAGCTCTACACCTTGTTATCTCATTTTCTTGTCAATTGTTTTGCTCATGCTTGTATGCAGCATAAAGGTCAATATCTTAAAACGTGAACAGAAAATTACACTTGAAAATTCTACCAACCTTCTCCTATAGGCTCTTCTTCTGCCTCTGGGAGAGGTACTGCATCTGTAAAATAGGAAGAATAAGAATGATTTAGTGTCAGCAGGAAGGGTACTAAAAGCTTAAGGGTCATGCTATATCTTTCTTAATAGAAGCAGATGTAACACAGATCAAAACAAGCAATTTGTGGACTTGTAACAAACAAACGTAATTAGATTGAATAAACATCCACAACATACACAAACTACACATAATTACAAAAGCTTTTATAGCATGAGACAGCATAACCTGTTTTTCCTTTGTGTTGCCATTGCTGGTACCAAACAAGGCTCTTTGGTTTTTGCACATTGTAGCATATGCTGAGCAGATTTCACCAAAAATGATAGCTGGGATAGCGCAGTGGCCTTGATAGGTCAGGACTTGGGGAAAGGCAAGCATAGGGAAAATTAACTTTGAGGAAAAAGAAAACAGCCACGGATTGCACACCAAATTACAACTCAAAGACTCCGACTGTAAAGTGCACAAGACATTGGGTGAAAGAGAATCAATTCTAATATCAAAATAACTTGACAACCAAGCTAACGTGAAGATCTTAGAATCCCTGCAGTGCAGAAACAGCCTATTCAGCTCAACGGGTCCATACTGACCCTCTGGAGAGCATCCCGCCCAGAACCATCCCCTACCCTATCCCTGTAACCCTGCATATCCTATGGCTAACCCACCTAACCTGTACATCCCTGAACATTATGGGCAATATAACATGGCCAATCCACCTAACCTGCACATCTTGGACTGTTGGAGGAAATTGGAGCAGCCAGCGAAAACCCATGCAGCTACAGGGAGAACTTGCAAACTCCACACATGTGGAGATAGTAAGAATTGCAGATGCTGGAGACAACACAGTGTGGAGCTGGAGGAACACAGCAGGCCAGGCAGCATCAGAGGAGCAGGAAAGATGTTGTTTCAGGTCAGGATGGGGAGGGGGAAGGGAGCTGGGAAATAAATAGAGAGGAGGGGAGGGGATGGGGAAAGGTAGATGGGATGGCGATAGATGGATGCAGGTAGGGAGTGGTGGAATTGGTCATTGGGACGGGTGGGGCGGATAGGTGGGAAAGATGATGGTCAGGTTATGTCGGTTCAGGGGAGGCAGGAGGAAAGATGCGTGGGGTTGGGGATAGGTTGGATGCAGGTAGAGGGCAATGGGGATTGGTCAGCGGGAAGGGTAGGGCGGATAAGTGGGAGAGAAGATGGACAGGTTGTGCCAGGTCAAGGAGGCGGGGATGAGAGGGAGGTTTGGACGTGGGATAAGAGCAGGGGTGGGGAGATTTTAAAACTGGTGAATTCTATGTTAAGGCCAGCAGGCTGTAGGCTCCCAAGGCAGAATATGAGGTGTTGCTCCTCCAGTTTGCATGTGGCATCATTGTGGCACTGCAGGAGGCCCAGGATGGACATGTCACCCAGGGAGTGGGAGGGGGAGTTAAAATGGTTGGCAACCGAAGATGTTGTCACTTGTCGTGTACAGAGTGCAGATGCTCTACAAAATGGTCCCGCCGACGTACAGGAGTCTATGTCAGTAGCAACGGATACAGTAGACCAGTTTAGAGGATGTACAGGTGAACCCTTGTCAGAAATGAAAAGCTTGCTTTGGGCCTTGGACGGATCTGAGGGGGGAGGTGTAGGGGCAGGTGTAGCACTTCCTGCGGTTTCAGGGAAAGGTGCTGGACATGGTGGGGTTAGTGGGGGTTGTGGAGCAGACGAGGGAGTCGCAGAGTGAGCGGTCCCTACAAAAGGCAGATGGGGGTGGGGAGGGAAATATCTCTTTGGTTGTAGGGTCGGATTGTAGGTGGCAGAGAACGATATGCTGGATGTGGAGGTTGATGGGGTGGTACGTGAGGACCAGGGGGATTCTGTCTTTATTTTTGGTGGGGGGGGGAGGGTTTGAGGGCAGAAGTGCAGGAAATGCAAGAGATGCAGGTGATGTGGAGTTCAGTTGAGAGAGATATTGAAGTATTCAGGCACACTTCCCACCCCTACAAGTTCAACACAAAGCACACAACTCCCAGAAAGAAAATCTCAGGCACATAAAACTACAAGAGGACAGGACAGAACTGAGGACAGCCAAGTAAGACAAACCTTGGATTTCAGGTTCCACATCCAAGTTCTGAGATCCATAGGCTGTTATAAATAATAAAATTAACATTTTGTTAGTAATGATCACCCTTACACTTCCATATCATGTTAGATTTTGTTTTAATAAAAAGGAAAAAATATGAAAGGTATTCTCAATGCAAACCTAATTGGCTATCTTCATCTGTACTTTGAAGTACGGGAGACACCTCTGGAAAACAAGAAGGGGTCACAGTATAAGACAGCATAGATATAAAATCAAACTATATTCTTCATATAGGATTCATAAAATAGCTGATCCATATTTTTCAACAGCCTATCAGAGATGGAATCACTTTACAAAACTGAACTAAACGTATAAAATCTTCAATATATCTAAGGATGTGTACAAAGATAAACATTTGCAATTCAGCACAGCTAAAAATATTAAATACTGCTGTAAGATTCAAAAGAATACGTGGATGCAAGATTCTTAACAGGTATATCATAAACTACATCATGCAATGGAACAAAAAGAAATTCAGCAGGTTTGGCAGCATCTGTGGGATGAAGGAGGGTTAAAATATTTCAGGTCCGATGACTCTTCATTAGAAGAGATGCTGCCAGACATGCTGAGATTTCCCATATAACATCATGGAATGGGTCACTTTCACTTTTATAGAACTGATTTTATTCATGTAAGAAAGAGCAAGAAATAAAAACAAAATGCTAGAGAAACTCAGCAGGTCAGGCAGCATCTGTGGAGTGGGAAACAAAGTTAACATGGAGTCCAGTGACTTCTCATACTTCTTGGCAGCCTGTTTCATAAGCCAATATTTTGTGGGGGTCAGTTGCATGCAATTTAAATCAAATTTAGAAATTAATGCTGACAATTAACTTTATTTAATGGGCTGCTGTATGAAATAGATTCTGTTTTTGCTCATTTGGGGGGAGGCAATGGCCTCGTGGTGTCATCGCTGGACTGTTAATCCAGAGACCCAGATAATGTTCTGAAGATTCGGGTTCGAATCCCATCATGGCAGATGGTAGAATTTGAATTCAATAAAATATCTGGAATTAAGAATCTAATGGTGACCATCAACCCATTGCCAATTGTCGGAAAAACCCTGGTTCACTAATGTCCTTTAGGGAAGGAAACTGCCATCCTTACCTGGTCTGGCCTACATGTGACTCCAGACCCACAGCAATGTGGGTGACTCTGAACTGCCCTCTGGGCAATAAATGCTACCTTGCCAGTGACACCCTCAACCATTAATAAATAGAGAAAAAAAAATTTGGCTTTCAGACTCAAAACTGGTTACTGATACGAGGGCGCTAGACTGCAGGTCAAACAGTCCTAATCCTGAAATGTGATCAAGTTGGCAATCTGCGCACTAAATGCTAGATGTCTCATAGCGTAGTCAGGAAATAAATGTTTAAAGTTGTAAACAAACCTTGTATGTCTTCAGCTCCTGGAACATATTCTGTTTCTTCAGCTAGCAGGAAACAATTTAAAAACAGTCAAGCTCCCGATTTACAATGGTATTTTCAGTTAATGTTTCTCTTCCAATACTCATCATAGCTGAAAAAGTGATGGGCTTGTTGTTTTTCAAGTAACAAAACATGTTATTGAGCCTGCAATTTCTCATTTAACCATAAGGTGACTATTAGTTTATTTTCTTTGTAGGATCCAGAGGAGGTTTACAAGAATGATCCCAGGGATCAAAAGCTTATTAAATGAGGAGTGGTTGAGGACTTTGGGTTTGTACTCAACGGAGTTTAGAAGGATTACAGGAGATCTGACCGAATTTACAGAATACAGTGAGGCCTGGATAGAGTGAATGTTGACAAGACGCTTCCACTGGTTGGAATGACTAGGACTGAAGGGCATAGCCTCAGAGTGTAGGGACGACCCTTTAGATCTGAGAAGGAAGTTCCTCAGCTGGAGAGTGGTTAAATCTGTGGAATTCATTGCCGCAGAGAGCTGTGGAGGCCAAGTCATTGAGTATATTTAAGACAGAGATAGATAGATCCTTAGTAAAAACCAAAAGAACAGCGGATGCTGTAAATCAGGAACAAAAACAAAGTTGCTGGAACAGCTCAGCAGGTCTGGCAGCATCTGTGGAGGAGAAAACAGAGTTAACGTTTCGGGTCCGGTGATGCTTCCTCAGAACTGATGGTGGCTGGGAAAACGTCAGTTTATATGCAGAAAATAGGGAGGTGGGTGGCGTAGGGAGTAAACGATAGGATAGAGCCCAAAGAGAGAGAAAGACAGTTGGACAAAGGAGTTGCTAACAATCAGGCTGGGAGAGTGAATAGTTGTTAATGGGGACGGTTAGTGACTAACAACAGGGGGGTGTGTAGTGGCAGGCTATGTGGTAACAAGGCCTGGTGTGTGGGGTGGGGGGCTGGGACATGGGAGAGTTTAGGCCCTAAAATTATTGAACTCAATATTGAGTCCGGAGGGCTGTAGGGTGCCCAAGTGGAAAATGAGGTGTTGTTCCTCCAGCTTGCATTGGGCTTCACTTGGAACACTGTAGCAAGCCGGAGACAAAGATGTTGGCCAGGGAGCAAGGTGGTGCATTGAAGTGGCAGACAACAGGTAGTTCAGGGTCTTTTTTGCCAGCAGAACGTAGATGTTCTGCGAAGCGGTTGCCAAGTCTACGCTTCGTTTCCCCAATGTAGAGGAGACCACATTGCGAGCAGCGAATGCAATAGACTAGATTCTTGGAAGTGCAGGTGAAGTGTTGCTTCACCTGAAAGGTATATTTGGGCCCTTGGATAGTGGGGAGGGAGGGGGTAAATGCGCAGGTGTTGCACCTTCGCCGGTTATAGGAGAAGGTGCACTAGGGCTGTGGGGAGGTGTTGGGGGTGAAGGAAGTGTGGATCAGGGTGTCCCGGAGGGAACAGTCCCTGCGGAAGGCGGACAAGGGAGGGGAATGGAATATGTGTCTGGTGGTGGCATCTTGCTGGAGGTGGTGGAAATGCCGTCTGATGTCTGATAGATAGATAGATCCTTGGTTGGTAAGGGGATCAAGGGTTATGGGGAGAAGGCAAGAGAATGCAGCTCAGAAACATATCAGCCACGATCAAATAGCAGAGCAGACTTACTTGGCCAAATGGCCCGATTCTGCTCCTATATTTTATGATGGTCTTGTAGCAGAACTTGTTTTACTTTGCTTACAACCGAAAGATTACATTTGTCTGTCATAGAGCATGAAGAGTGACAAAGCACTTACCATAAAACTCTTCTACTGTATCTTCATGTTCTAGGTCAACTTCTGCTAAAAGTGAATTAAAAGTATATTTTTAAAACTTCCCAATCAACTCCCCCCATTCTTCCTTCAATGTGGATAAGACTTTCGGCAAGGAACATTCTGGCTGTCTTACGAGTGCTTTGCCAAGTAAACATTGTAACTGTTCATTTGACAACAAATTGAACACATTTATATTCAGACACAAGCAGCTGATCGAGATGTTACATTCCTGTCCATCAACAACTTTTATTTAGCTGGGCCTTTAACACAGTGAAGCATCATAGCTACTTCACAGAAGCAAACAAAATTTGACACCGAACTTAAAATAACCAACTGCTTGTCTATTTATACAGTTAGAACTCCAGCTATGAATATCTTCTAAAGTATTGCATCTTGGGACATTAGACGTCAGTAATATAAAAATTAACAACTGACGAAAATGAAGACATCTTTTTGAATCTCCAATGAAAATAAACTGATTGATTAAATGAACAAATCAGAATTAGCTCGGCTCAGTCAGTAATAAGCAACAAGAAAGCCAAGAACAAAATAAACAAAACGTGTACTTTTTGCATGAAGACATCAAAATTGAATAAGCAAGTGGCAGCAAGCATCAATAAAATTTGATCTTCAAACTTCCTCCTTGTTGAAAAATAATACTGCTTGGTTGCAATTTAATCATAGTGGACTTGGAGCTTTTTAGGCAAATGCCACAACTTCTCCCAACTGACTGCAGCAAATCCAATTACTGCGCCCACTCCATTTTGGTCCTGTCACCACTTCTACTAAAAGTTCTGACAATCTAATGTGTGCGTCTGGTCTATTGACCCAACCAATTTGACTGACTAGAGTAATTCCTAATCTGTCTCTCTGAGCCAAAAAAACTATCCATCTGTGTTGAAAAAAAACTCATGATGGATAGTACAATGCAAATTTGAGCATTGTTGAGAGAGAGAAATGCTGTTAAATCTTTTCATCTTGTGTTCATCAGGAATAGGAATCACACTAATAATCAACTGAAGATCAGTCATAGAATTTCACAATACAGGAGTATACTATGCAACCCATTGTGTTTGTGCCAGCTCCCAAACGAACTATCCAGCTAGTCCCATTCTCCAGCCCATCTCTGTTGCCCTCTAAATTCATCACTTTCCACAATATAGCCAGCTCTCTTTTGAAAGTTCCTATGAATCTGCCTCGGCCCTTCTCCTAGGCAGTGCAGTAGGGCTCACAGTGTGGCTCATTGACACATGCTTGAAGCTCTATATATATATTCACATTCATGGCCCTTTGGTTTGCAAACAGAAAGAAAAGGTCCATGCACTGCACCTTTTCGACTCAATAATAGCTTGGGGGTAACAGCCATTCCCTGATGTGCTGCCATGGCAATGCTGCCAAGAATCAGGACTCTCCTATAATGTAGTTTCAATCGATGCTCCCAGTGAAGTTCCTTGTGATTCTGTGCTGATGAGTGCAAAACAGGGAGAACTAGCCATTTGGATACAGAACTGGCTCGAAGGTAGAAGACAGAGGGTGGTGGTGGAGGGACGGTTTTCAGACTGAAGGCCTGTGACCAGCAGTGTGCCACAAGGATCAGTCATTTTTGTCATTTATATAAATGATTTGGACGTGAACATAGGAGGTATGGTTAGTAAGTTTGCAAATGACACCAAAATTGGAGGTCCAGTGGACAGCAAAGAAGGTTACCTCAGAGTACAATGGGATCTTGATTGAATGGGCCAATGGGCTGAAGAGTGGTGGACGGAGTTTAATTTAGATAAATGTGCTGCATTTTGGAAAGGCAAATCAGGGCAGGGCTTAAACACTTAATGGTAAGGTCCTGAGGAGTGTAGCTGAACAAAGAATGCAGGCTCATAGTTCCTTGAAGGCGAAGTCACAGGTAGAGAGGGTGGGGAAGCCGGCGTTTGGTATGCTTGCTTAATTGGTCAGTGCATTGAGTATAGGAGTTGGCAGGTCATGTTGTGGCTGTACAGGACATTGGTTAGGCCACTATTGGAATACTGCGTGCAATTCTGGTCTCCCTGCTATAGGAAGGATGTTGTGGAATTTGAAAGGGTTCAGAAAAGACTTACAAGGACGTTGCCAGGCTTGGAGGGTTTGAGCTATAGGGAGAGACTGAATAGACTGGGGCTATTTTCCCTGGAGTGTCAGAAACTTCGGGGTGTCCTTACAGAGGTTTATAAAATCATGAGGGGCATGGATAGGGTAAATAGACAAGACTTTTTTCCCTGTGCGAGGGAATCCAAACTAGAGGGCATAGGGTTAAGGTGAGAGGGGAAAGATTTAAAAGGGACCTAAGGGGCAACTTTTTCACACAGAGGGTGGCGCCTGTATGGAATGAGCTGCCAGAGGAAGTGGAGGAGGCTGGTACAATTACAACAACATTTAAAAGGCATCTGGCTGAGTATATGAACAGGAAGGGTTGAGTGCGCTACGGTCCAAATACTGGCAAAAGAGACTAGATTTTTAGGATATCTGGTCGGCATGGACGAGTTTGACCAAAGGATCAGTTTCCATGCTGTATACCTCTCTAGACTCTAACAATAAAAAAAAATGCATCTTTTCTCAGCAATATATCAAATTATGTTTACAAAACAATAATTGAAATTTGGGAGAATTCATGCCAGGGCAAAGAAAAAAAGAGAGCGGGTAAGGATGGGAGGAAGAGATAGATAATAAGATCAATTTTCTAATGCCTAAAATAAGCGGTCTTAAAAATGATTCAGAATGATTGAATTACACAGTTCATGATAGCATCAAAACAAAGTTATATTTATAGCATGTTACATTCAGACAGCAAAAAAAACCAAATCATTTAAACTTACTAGGGTCAGACAGGCTTTAGGTTGAAAAAAATGTTGTTCTAAGTTAGATGCTGCTAAGCATTTATGCCCCATTTTAACTATTTCCATTTTCCAGCAATCCTGATTCACTTTCATCTAAGAGCTCCATAATCTCTATGGTCACTCCTTCTCTGTAATGTCGTAAGTTCTTGATTCAGCAACCAGTTCTGGTGCCAAGGACCAACTTCAGTCTGGTCTGGGATCTATATTAGTGTGTCATTGGTTATGAAACCAAAACCAGGCCATAACCAATTCATGCTTCATTGGGCAAATTCATAAACGAACACACTTGAAAGCTACTCAGACACTGGAGACAAGCAACGGAGATGGGGACAATAAGTAACAGAAAGTGACATTTAGAAATGATGAGAAAAATCGTAATTGGCATTGGAGTAGAATAGGGAATGAATCAAGTAATCATATAAAGAGAATAGAACAAGAGTGAGATGGAAGGCAAAGTGTAAAAAGGGTGAGTGGGGAGGAAGCAAAGGATGAATGTAAAGGGGAGATACTTAGTTTTTTTTTAACTATATGATCTAACATAACAATTTACGTGTTACATTGTACAACACTAATCATGGAACAGTGTGCACTCCAGTTTACCATCAGTAATGTGAAAGATCATTAATGCTTAATAAGTTCATAACATCGACATATTAATCACCTGCAAAAGGACAATAAAACAAAAGTAGTGACTGTACAAACTTGTACAAGTCAAGATATACCTTCAGTAAACTTATCGCTCTCTGGCAGCTCATCATTTCCATCTGAAAGTAAAATTCAGGATTTAACAAACAGCATAATCGTACCTGACAACCAAAAGCTTAGTCCTCAAGAATTTATGTATAGGTTTATTTAATTTAGAATAGGAGCCAAATTTTGCTCCTATTGGCTAAATAGCAGCATCAGCCTTTTATTATCTTTGCATTCAGGCTGTGGTTTTGTATTGGAATTTGTATTTTTGTATTGCCTATAAATTAGACAGACAAAATGATACCGAGTCCTCTAGTGGGGATCTGGGAGTTGTGTAAAGAGGGCAAGCAACTGTTAAGCAACTCTTAGCCAAACAGATAAACACTCATTCATTATTTTTGCTCTAGAGAGGTGGATGGAATGGAATTTCATTGAACCCACTGGATGTCTCCCATGATGGGGTGGGTGGATTGCCAGGACAAGGAGGCATGCTTTAGGAAAATATGAGAAATTTCTTTACTCAGAGGTGCTGAATCTTTAGATCTCTGTCCAAGTATGCTGCGGTCATGTGGCCTTTTATATCCATTCAAAGGGACAGATGGGCATTAGTGTAATGTCTCATTTGAAAGGTAAAACCTCGGTCAGTGTAGCAGTACCTCATTACTGTACTGGAAAGTCAGTTAGAATTTTGTGCCCAAGGCTCTGCAGTAAAATACCTCATTGCAAACTTTTATTTAGAGGGTGTGCTCTACCACTGAGCATGCTAGCTCAAGAAAGCTCAATTCCTCTTCAAATTTAGCTGCAGTAAGAACATAAGAACTAGGAGCAGGAGTAGGCAATCTGGCCCCTGGAGCCTGCCCCGCCATTTAATAAGATCATGGCTGATCTTTTTGAGTCTCAGCTCCACTTACCCGCCCACTCACCATAAGCCTTAATTCCTTTACTGTTCAAAAATTTATCCAGCCTTGCCTTAAAAACATTCAACGAGGTAGCTTCAACCACTTCACTGGGCAGGGAATTCCACAGATTCACAACTCTTTGGGTGAAGAAGTTCCTCCTGACCTCCGTCCTACATCTGCTTCCCTGTATTTTGAGGCGATGCCCTCTAGTCCTAGTTTCACCTGCTAGTGGAAACAACCTCCCTGCCTCCACTTTATCTGTTCCCTTCATAATCTTATATGTTTCTATAAGATCTCCCCTCATTCTTCTGAATTCCAATGAGTATAATCCCAGCCTAAGCAGTCTCTCCTCATAATCCAACCCTCTCAACTCTGGAATCAACTGAGTGAATCTCCTCTGCACCCCCTCCAGTGCTAGTATATCTCTTCTCAAGTAAGGAGACCAAAACTGCACACCAGTCCTCCAGGTGTGGCCTCACCAGGACCCTATACAGCTGCAGCATAGCCTCCCTGTTTTTAAACTCCATCCCTCCAGCAATGGCAGACAAAATTCCATTTGCCTTTTTAATTACCTGCTGCACCTGCAATCCCACCTTCAGCGATTCATGCACAAAGACACCCAAGTCCCTCTGCACAGCAGCGTGCTGCAATTTCTTACCATTTAAAACAGTCCATTTTGCTGTTATTCCTACCAAAATGGATGACCTCACACTTATCAACATTGTACTCCATCTGCCAGACCTTTGCCCACTCACTTAGACTATCTATATCCCTCTGCAGACTTTCAGTGTCTTCTGCACACTTTGCTCTACCACTCACCTTAGTGTCATCTGCAAATTTTGACACACCACAATTAGATCCCAACTCCAAATCATCTATGTAAATTGTAAACAATTGAGGTCCCAACACTGATCCCTGAGACACACCACTAGCCACTGACCGCCAACCAGAAAAACACCCATTTACCCCTACTCTTTGCTTTCTACTGGTCAACCAATCCTCTATCCATGCCAATACGTTACCTGTAACACTGTGCAACTTTATCTTATGTAGCAGCCTTTGGTGTGGCACCTTGTCAAATGCCTTCTGGAAATCCAGATACACCACATCCACAGGTTCCCCATGGTCCACCATGCAAGTAATGTCATCAAAGAATTCCACCAAATTAGTTAAACATGACCAACCTGTCATGAACCCATGCTGGGTGTTCCCAATGGGACAATTTATATCCAGATGTCTTGCTATTTCTTCCTTAATGATAGATTCAAGCATTTTCCCCATTACCGAAGTTAAGCTAACTGGCCTATAGTTACCTGCCTTTTGTCTACTTCCTTTTTTAAACAATGGCATCACATTGGCTGTTTTCCAATCTGCGGGAACCACCCCAGAGTCCAGTGAATTTTGGTAAATAATTACTAGTGCATTTGCTATTTCCCCCATCACCTCTTTTAGTACCCTGGGATGCATTTCATCAGGGCCAGGAGACTTGTCTACCTTTAGCGCCATTAGCTTGCCCAGCACTGCCTCCTTAGTGATAATGATAGTTTCTAGGTCCTCACCTGCTATAACCTTCTTGCCATTAGTTTTCGGCATGTTATTTGTGTCTTCCACTGTGAAGACCGACACGAAATAATTGTTTAATGTCTCGGCTATTTCCTCATTCCCAGTTATTAAATTGGCCTTCTCATCCTCTAAAGGACCAATGTTTACCTTCGCCACTCTTTTATGATTTACATATTTATAGAAACTTTTGCTGCCTGTTTTTATATTCTGAGCTAGTTTACTCTCATAATCTATCTTACTTTTCTTTATAACTTTTTCTGTGGCTTTCTGTTGGCCTTTAAAGATTTCCCAGTCTACTAGTTTCCCACTACTCTTTGCTTTTTTGTATGTGTTTTTTTTCAATCTGATACTTTCCTTTATTTCCTTAGACATCCATGGCTGGCTCTCTCTTTTCCTACAGTTCTTCCTTATCACTGGAATATACTTCTGCTGAGCAGTGTGAAAAGTTGTTTTGAAAGTCCTCCACTGTTCTTCAATTGACCCACCATAAAGTTTTTATACAGCTACAACACATCACCTGGCCTGCCATCTCTACTTAGTTAATTATTTAAAATTAATTAGTTTTGTTTTTTAGTTTCGCACTGTTCGCTGCACCAGTAAGTTTACTCCGTTATATACTCAAACAGACTCCGGCTTTGCCTTCCGACCTACCCCCAGAGGATTTGGTGTCTAGGTGACCAGCCCAAAAGATAACAAAGAGATGAGGAAAAAAATGCAAATAGCTTACCTGCTCACCACACTTAGTCATTATTATTAGGTTAGAGGAGGTGGAAGGGTGGGAGACACTACGCGTGTAGTGTCTCGGGTATTAGTTAACTCTCAAATTTATTGGGTGGAAGCTTATCTTCCCAGGCTGCCCTCGCGTTTTCTCCCAGACTCCCGCCACTGAAACAACTGAAAGTAACCCTGGTGTCAAGGACTCACGACTCTGGTTCAAATTCCTGAACTACTGCCACACCCACAATCAAATCAGACTGCTGCCCTAGTCTTACCTTGCTTCAATAACAAACCAAAATAAATAAATCATTCACGTACAAAGTAAAGTTTAACAATTTTAAAAAGTTCAAACACAAACCGCATTTTGAAATGTTAAGTATACAACTTCCCAATGGATACTGAATCTATTCGTCCATTTAAATATTTTGACGGAAAAGACAGAGAGAATGGCAACATAAAATTTTCAACATACCCATTAGCAAAATAAAACTTTCACCCGGAATACCCATGTCAACAGCCCAGGTTCACTTTTATCAGAAGCGAATAAAAGCTATCAACTACTGAACATAAACAGTCTGCAACAAGTACATAAGTAAAGCATGTACCACCTTCCTGGTCCACCTGGTCAGAGAAGTCTTCAACTTCAGATTCATACAATCCTGAAAAAGTAACAAATGTACTATAATGAAAGTCAAAGAAGCATTGCCCAAGTAAATATATCATGCTAATTCAGTTTAGGTAGTTATGTTTTTAACCTATATAATAATGAAAGGATTTCATGTCAAAATTCCTGGAGTTCACAATAATTTCTTCACCACTCAGGTAAGTCCATCATGAAAACAGACTAGAAAACAACTTTCTTCAAATTAGAAGGAACAAATCATGAAGCTTTTAGTCAGAATGCCAATTTTCACGAAATGAGTTATATCATGACTGCTTACTAAAAAGCCTCAGCTGAACTGATATACACCACTGTATATACAAAGTGTTGGAGAATTCAGCAAGTCTGACAGCATTTGTGCAGAAAGAAACTGAGCTAATGCTTTCAAGTCCGATGACTCTTCACTGGAAATTGAGAGAGGTGGAAAAGTGATAGGTCTTTTTTGCTGGATTAAGGCCAACATTTCCAATAGTTAGAGCACTGCATGCACAGGTTTAAGTGCTTTGTTAGAATGCAATGTGGGTGGGGATCAGGTAGGGATATTGTGCAAATTAAACTGGCTCATGGTCAGTGCAGTCACACACATCTAGTCAGTTAGCACTTTCTTGAACAGCAATTTTCAGTCCACTGACTTCAAGCTAGGTAGGGTACAAGGGAAGCCATCAGAACCTTTGCTATTTACCAATCAGATCCCAGCTGGAGTACTAGCACTCTTGCGCATGTGGAAGAGCATTCTGACAACTTCATGCATGTACAAACTGCTCCTTCCAGCCACTTTTAATGGCATTGTGCTTTGGAAACATATACCACATGTATACTTTTGAATAGACAGGAGAGGTGTGGGACAAAAGGCAGAGCAGAGAATTAAGGGAGACTGGAGATCAAAAGTTCAACAGAACAAAAGACAAAGGGAAATTAATGATGTTTACATTGGAACATAGAACAGGAGTAGATCATTCAGTCCCTTGAGCCTGTTTTTACCATTCAATAAGATCATGGCTAATCTAATGCCTAAATGCATACACCTGCCTTTGGCCCAAATCCCTTAATACCTTTGCTTCACAAAATGATTTCTATCTCTGATTTAAAATTAATAACTGATCCAGCATTCACTACCATTTGTAGATGAGTATTCCAAACATTGCCCACCCTTTGTGTGTAGAAGTGCTTCCTAACATCTTTCATCTCCAATTTTCAGACTATGTCCCTTGGTTCTAGATTCCACAACCAGTAGAAATAGTTTATCTTTATCCACCCTGTCCTTTCCTAATATCTTGAAGGCTTCAATCAGATCACCCCTTAATCCTTTGAAATTCTAGAGAAAACAGGTTTAAATGTAAAGATAGGGCATAGAACACAAGCAGGTGATTTCTAACAAAGAAAAAACCACGAAAAACAAAATACAGACACTAGATGTGATGGTGGGTGAAGGGAGAAAAAGAGCAAGCCCATATTAGGTAATCAAAATGAAGGACAGAGTTCACGGCCTGAAGTTGATGAACTAAATGTTGAACTCTTGAAGACTGCACAGTGCCTGAATGGAACATGAGATAAATTCCTCCTGCTTGAGTTGGCTTGACCGGAACACTGCAGCAGGCCCAGGGCAGAACAAATACACTGGACTAGACTGTAAGTAGTACAAGTAAACTGCTGCTTCCCTGCTTCTTAATATATAGCATGCTTCATGTAGTACCTAGGGGAGCTAAAACAGAAATTGCCAGAAAAACTCAGCAGGTCTGGCAGCATCTGTGGGAAGAAAGCAGACAGCAGATGCTGCCAGACCTGCCGAGTTTCTCCAACAATTTCTGTTTTTGTCTCAAATTTCCAGCACCTGCAGTTCTTTGGTTTATTTTAGCAGTACCCAGAAGAGGATTGCAGTGCAGCAGCTTTGTCCCTATGTCTGGTCTAGAACATTTAGGTTGATTACCGCCCCAGGACTTGGTGGCTATGGAAGGTACATTTACAACAGCCAAGCAAATCAATTTTCAGCCTGTAAATTCTTCCAATATATTTGATGGCAAACAGTAAGACTGCAACAGTTTCCTGGTAAATTATCCACCACTTTGTCCCATAATCATGGGCGAATCCATTGGAAGTCCATGGCCCAAACCCAAAAATGAGCACGAGAGAAAAAGGTTCAGTCTCTTTGCATGTGATATCTAAGTACAGTACCAGTTGGACTACAATACACACCTGGAACATCTCGCTCAGAAACTACTTCTTCAGGCTTGAGTTCAGCATCATCTAGGATATAAATAGCTTCATGTTAATAGGTGGGCCATCATGCATCATGGTTAAAGTTAGTATGTAAAGGCACCAACCTAAAACAATATCATCAACTTCTTCCTCAGTCACTTCTGATGTTTCTGAAGGGAAATAAAGTGTTTCTGTAACATTAAAGACTTTTCACCACATGTTTGATGATTATATAGATGGTAAAACTGTAATAATTACCTGCAATTTTGTCTTCTTGTACAAATGAAACTTCAGGTCCAGAATCCTCTAAAAGTAAAAGATGATCATAAAAGGCTTGAGTATAGTAGCCAATCATATTGGTTATCACCTTCCATCAACAAAACTTTATACACGATCCGTAATGCAGCAAAGCGTCAAAAATGTGCCAGAGACCCAACAAAATGATGGTTGCTATGCAATAGGAACAGATATGAAGGAGGGCTCATTAGAAGTTTAGATTTGTTTTTATTCTGGAAAGGTTCCATCAGACTTGAAAGTAGCAATATAAATTGACTATTCAAGAAGAGGGGAGAAACACAGGAAATCTAGGCCAGTTAGCTTGGTGTTTGTCACAGGGAAGATGTTAGATGTTAGATGTTAGAATGGAGGAAGTTATAACTGGGCACTTTGAAAAATTCAAATTAATCAGAAAGCGTTGTTTTTGTGAAAGGGAATTCATGTTTAACAAGTTTCTTGAAGGAGTGATGTGCTGTGATAAGGTTGACTTAAATGTTACATTGTACATATGGAGACTGACCTTATGTTTATGGATACAGTGAACAACAGAAGTGTAAAAATGTATTATGTTCATTGCTAACTTTTTCTTTCAAGATATACAGCAGGTAATAAGAAGGGCAAATAGAACTTTGGCATTATTGTTAAAGGAACAGAGCATTAAAAGGTAGGGGAGTATTGCTGTAACAGTACAAAGCATTGGTGAGACCACATCTGGAGTAGTGCATATAATTTTGGTGCTCTTATTTGAGGAAGGAAGGATGAACTGCCTCCAATGCAGTTACAAAGATGGTTCACTAGGTTATTTCCAGAGATGAAAAGCTTTCCTGATCAGGCCAATACTCTCTGAAATTTAGGAGGAAGACTATAGATCTAATTGAGGTATACATGATGCTGAAGGGGACTGAGAAAATAAATGTAGGAAGGATGCTTCCTCCTGTGGGGAAATCGAGAATGAAAGGTCATAGTTATAGGATTAGACGTAACAGATTTAAAACAGAGTTGAGGAAGAATAATTTCTCTCAAAGGGTCATGAATCTGTGAAATTCACTACCCCAGAGTGTGGTGGATGCCAGGACGCTGAATAAATTTAAGAAGGAAACAAAGATTTTTAATTACAAACAGGTTGAAGGGTTATGGGAAGCAGACAGGAAAGTGGAGTTGAAACAGAATGAGATCAACCATGATCGCACTAAATAGCGGAGCAGGCTTGAGGGTGTAAATTGCCAACTCCTGCTCCTAGTTCTTATGACAGAAACTCGCTTTGGAGGCTGAAAAAATCAGTTTTACTTCCGATGAAATGTTCCATGGTAAGTCAGTTTTAAAGACTGAGAAGATTTGTAGCTTAGGTTGTGGTTGTGGATGAGGTTGTAGACATGTTCGCCGAGCCGTAGGTTTGGTTGCAGACATTTCGTCACCCTGTTAGGTAACATCGTCAGTGCACCTCCGGTGAAGCATTAGTGTTCTGTACCGCTTGGTATTTATATACCTCAGTTTGTTGGGGTGTTCGGTTTCTCAGTGTACACAGGGACTAATTCAATGTGTTTGTTGATGGAGTTCCGGTTAGACTACCAGGCCTCCAGGAATTCCCTGGTGTCTCTCTGTTTGGCTTGTGCGATAATGGTTGTGTTGTCCCAGTCAAATTCATGTCCCTCTTTGTCCATATATAGTGAGACAAGTGAGAATTGGTCCTGTCTCTTGGTGGCTAGTTGGTGTTCACGTATCCATATTGTCAGTTTTCTTCCGGTTTGGCCTATATAGTGTTTCTCACAGTCCTTGCATGGTATTTTGTATATTACACCATTTTTGCAGGTTTTGGGTATGGGATCCTTTACGTCCGTCAGTAGCTGTTGCAGGGTGGTTGTTGGTTTGTGGGCTACTCTGATACCTAGGTGTCAGAATAGTCTTGTGGTCATCTCTGAAATGTGGTAGGGTGATCACTGAATCTGGTCGTGTTGTGTCTTCCTGTTGTGGTCTGTCTCTGAGGTAAGGGTGGATTGTGCTTTTCAGGTATCCATTCCTTTTGAAGACTCCATATAGGTGCTACGGTTCTGCTTTGTGTAGTTCCAGGTTGCTGCAATGTGTTGTGGCTCATTTAAATAGTGTCCTGATGCAGCTCCATTTGTGGGTGTTGGGGTGGTTGCTAGTGTAATTGAGTATCTGGTCTGTATATCTGGTCTTTCTATATACGCTAGTCTGGAGTTCCTTGTTTTTGCATTCTACCATTATGTCCAGGAAGGGTAGTCTGTTGTTGTTCTCTTCTTTTGTGAATTTTATTCCAGTGAGGCTATTGTACACGTGTCAGTGGGTTTCTTCTAGTTTTGTGCGTTTGATAATCACAAGGGTGTCATCTACATAACAGGCCCAAAGTTTGGGTTGTATGGTGGGGAACGGTGTCCATTCTATCCTTTGCATTACTGCTTCTGCAATCAGTCCTGATATTGGGGATCCCATTGGTGTTCCGCTGATTTGTTTGTATATGCCATCATTGAAGGTGAAGGGGTTGTGAGGCACAGATCTAGTAGTTTCATGGTGGTGTGCTGTCTTTATTGATGTTTTTAGTGTCCTGGGGTGCCTGCCCACTTGGTGTGGCAATTGTCTCGTTGGCTAGGTTGATGTTTATCGATGTAAAAAGTGCTGTTACATCGAAGGATTTCATCATCTAGTCCTCTTCTGTCCTGGGTCTTTGATTAAGCCAGAGGGATCTAACACAGCCCGCTTCTACAGACAACTCCAGGACAGCAGGATAGAAGAGGACAAGATGATGATATTCTTTGATGTAACAGCACTATTTACATCCATAAACATTGGTGTCCTTGATGATGTTGAGGAGTGGATGGAGAGAGTATTGTTGTCAACTAAGTATTTCAATTTCTGTTGTGGTTCTTTGGCAAGTCTATACGTTGGTGTGAGACAATGGGTCTGAGTGGGGTGGCCCAGTTTGTGTATCTTGGGGAGTGGCCATTATAAATGCTGAACATACTGCCAGATATGCTGAGTATCAGTGCAGAGAGAAACAGAGTTAACAATTCAAGTTTATTACCATGCATTGGTCCTGGTCCAGTTCTGATAGATCAAAGACCAAAAAGTTACTATTTCTCTCTTCACAGATGCTGCCACACTTATTCATTATTTTCAGGTTTTTTTTTCCTATTCTAGATTTCCAGTTTCTGTAATTTTTGCTAGTACAAAATAAGTGATTAACTCATCCAATTAAGTTACTAGAATGGGACTTGATAAGTATTAGTTATTACATATGCATAATTATTGATTAAAGCACCATTGAGCTCCATTTCTTGTGGAATAACTTACAAATATCTAAGAACATATATTCGCACAGACAAGAGCGAGCAATGAAATACAAAGAATGAGACAATAGTAAGGACAGCTCTTTCCAAACTTCACATCTCAAAGCTATGTGCACTTCATGGGTTGGTCTCTTGTGGCTCATACTAGGTGCTGCATTATGGATATTCCCATTCTAAATTAGTATCTGACTAGACAGATAAATTATACGTACAAGTTTCTCTCAAATAAATTTATTTCCTTTAAGTTTTTATATCTTGCACCCCTCCCTTGTTGCGCAAACAAACTGAATTGTTAACTTTACTTCGATTTACAGAGAAACACACTACCTGTTCAGCAAATTACATATTGTGACAGTCAAAAAGATACATTTTTGGCATGAAGGAAATTAAGCTCCTCAAAGACACAATTAAAGTATTTCTTTATCCAGCACCATAAAATGCTCTCATATCAACAGAAACTGTCTCTATACTAAATAAATCAACATGAATAAAACTATATGAAGTACCTAGAATCTCCGGTCCTTCAGACACTGTTTCATCTTCCATATCCTCTGACTCCCCTACAAGAGAGATTCACCAATTTATTAAAACCCAGGATGCAACCTCCAATTGAAACCAAATCATGCAAAGCATTTATAATCACTAAAGATTTTTGCACATAAATATATGATCTCCTCTTCTACCATTTTAAACTCAAAAAGAATTCTATTTAATAATGGAATATTTAGATTTTAAGTGTGTGCTTAAAAGTGATGTACAAACCTGGAGTGTCTGCTTCTTCAGGTTCAGACTCAACTGTTTCCTCTCTAATTTCATCTGCAAATGGAAAGTAGAACCTTGCATTCTATTATTAGATTATTAAGATTGAACTTCAAGCACAGATTTAGCTGGACACAAATTTCACCTTCAACATCTAGAAACAAGCATGCAACAAACCACTATACAAGCATCTGTATTTACTCTTGTATGATTTATTAGTCACATGTACAACTCAGAGGGGATGCAGCCTTAAATGGACTACAGAAAAAGAACAGGCAGGATGATCTACAGATCAAAAACTAAAATTAGTTTATTCCGTGTCAGTCCTTCTTGGGAACACCTTGCCAATTCTTCAAGTTTGATTTCTCTCATCATCAATTTCTGTCTCTACCCTCTCCTCCCAATTGTTTTCAATTTTTATTCTTCAGTGGATGACTCCATTGCTCCTTGCACCATCATAAATGATTATGCCTTCCTATAATAATTTCCCTCTCCTAATGTGCATCATATCTTCTTTAGGATCATCTTGCACATCATCATACTCTACCAACAATCTTGTCTTACTTCAACACTTTCAGAGTAGTCTTCCTTCATCATGTTAAACTGCAGTCAGTGATAAACACAATCCCGTCTACACTTAGGGGAAGCACTGCACTGTAAAAAGACTGGAATTTACAGGATGGCTTTTACAATTTTAGGACATCAGAAGTCTTTCATTAACTCAAAACTTTACCAAGTCCTGAACTGGTGTAAGATAAGAAACAACGCAGCCAATCTAAGCACAGCAAGCTCCCACAAATGGTCATATGCTCATAACCATGTTATTTTGGTATTAATTGAGGGATAAATATTGGTTAGGACAACAGAGACTCCCCATAATTTATTTTAAATAGTGTTGCCAATCCTTTACATTTACGAGAGAACAGCAAGGCCTTGCTTTATCAGAGCTGTCATAAAAATCCCGTGGTACTCGAAGAGGAGCAAGTGAGTTTTACCAGTGTCTCAATCATTCCCAATAGAAGTGACCACCTGGCCAATTATCCAAGGACTGAGTGGGATCCAACTGCACAGAACTTAATTATCACTTTTGCCTGAATGACTATAATGACTACAACAAGGTAGCACTCCTTTGCCTAGGAGGGGTTTCTGGTCTTCCTGAGGATATGAAGTGTCTTTTTATAAATACAAATCCTCCTTGCCTATATTTCCATCCCAATTTTCTCATCAGTCTCTCATATCACAAACTTGTTAAAGCACACAAAGAGGCTCTTCAGCCCATCATTTCTCCAAAGGAGAAATGCATCCAGTGCCCTACCTTGCCTTTTCCCCATAGTTCTGCAGATTCTTCCTTTTCAGATAATAGACTAATGTCCGCTTGACTGCCTTGATTGAATGTGCCTCCACCATAAGCTGTACCCTCTAGATCTCAATCACCTTCTGCGTGCAAATGTTTTTCCCTCATGTGCTCATGTTTACCTTAGCCAATGACCCTCAATCTGTGCACTCTTGCTCTTGACTCATCTACCAATGAGAACAATTTCTCCTCTACTTTTTTCAGACCCTGATGATTTTGACTATCAAATCTCTACCAAATCCCTTCTCTAAGGAAATAGTCCCAACCTTTTCAATCTATGCAAGTTGATCAATGGAGCCATTCTTGTGGATCTTTTCTGTACTATCACAAATATCTTCACACAAATGAATACTAAGGCATCATAAATGTGAAGCAATGTCCTCTACTTCCATTCACAAACCCCCTCTTTGATCATGATCAGCCCACTCCTCCTCTTCCCACCTACATTTATTTATATGCATACAGAGGTCTGTTGAATCCCTTTTGTTAGCATGCAGTCCGTTTCCAGAATCTCCATGTTTCTCATTTCCCGTTTGAAACATCTACATTCAGCCTTGTTCTCTGCTGTATTACCCACCTGACATCTCTCTTTAACACTTTTCATCTATCTTTTTTAACATCCAGGAAACTCTGAAATTGTCTGTTCTACATTTCCCCTTCTTAAGAATATACCCTGACTGCACCAAAACTCTTCTTTAAAAGGCAGCCCATCCTTCCTGAGAAGACAAGCACGCACAGGCCACTCAGTCTCTCAAGTCTACCCCACTATTCTATCATATCACGACTAATTTGCCCTGGCCTCCACTCTGTCATGTCAGTTTATCATGGCCCTCAACTCCTGATACTTGAAAGATCTTTCTCCTTTTTAAATATTTTCAGTGATGTAGCCTCCACAATTCTCTGGGGTAGAAAATTCAAGACATTCATTACCTGTGAGAGAATAGATTCCTTCACATCTCTGTTAAATAAGTGTCTCCTTACTCTCTAACAATTTCCTTTAGTTTGAGACTTCCCCATTAGCGGAAATACTTTCTCAACATTTACCCTGTCAAGTCCCAAAAGAACCTTGAATGTTTCAAGAAGATCACCAAACATTTTTCTAAAGTCCAATGAATTAAGACTAACCTGTTTAGCTGTTCTTGATAAAGTCATTCCCTTCATCCTAGGAATGAGCCTAATGAACCTATTTTGAATTGTATCTAATGCCAGTGTATCCTCTCAAATACAGACACAAAAACTGTATATGGTACTTGAAAAGAACACACAGTATAGTTGCAACAAGATGCCCCTATTTCTAACTCTAGCCACCTAGCAATAAAGGCCAAAATTCCATTTGCCTTCTTAAGGGAACATTATCACCAACACGTTTCCCTCCAAGTGGGTATATCTCACTGTTGCTAGGTCAAAACCCTGCAACTTCATTGAGGGTCTGCACATGAACAATGCCCACATTCCAAGAATACACACTTGCTGCATCTGCATGCAAACGTGTTCCATACACTAGAACACCCAAATCCCTCTATGCTGTACTGTTGAGGAGTCTCTCACCATTTAAACTGGCTGCCTTTTGATTCTTCCTGCCATTTGCACAATCTCGCCCTTTCCTACATTAAACTCCACCTGCCAAGTTTTCACCCACAATCCATTTATCTATATCCCCTTGCTGATTCCTTATATCCTCATCACAACATACCATCCCTCCTATTTTTGTACCAGCAGCAAATCTGGATACACTACACTGTCCCTACCTTCAGGTCATTAATGTAGATAGTAAAACCATTGAGGTCCTTGGACTGATCCTTGTGGCACTATTAAGTCTTCCCAATCTGAAAAAGATCCATTAATCCCAAGTGTCTTCTGTGTTAAATAATCCTCAATCCATACTAAAGGTGTTGGCAAAAGGCTCGTTGAAATATTCCAGAACTTCCTGCATTTCTGGACAGATCCAGAGGATCAGAAAACTACAAATAGTATGTTGCTGCCTTCAAAGGAAGAGAGACAAAGCAGGAAACAATGGGCCAATTAGCAATTAGCTCGTCCACTCAGTGCTTTTCTTTTCTTACTTCTTCCTTTTTTTAGTCTTTTTCTTGCTCTACTTGCTTTCTGGAGGAAACGGCAGCGACAACAGTGGCTGGGGGCTGTGGCAGTCAGCCATGTGGCAGCTGGTATGCCTAGGCAGAACTCTAGTTGTTCGCGGCATCGCTGCTTCTTCAAGGTCCAGAGTGTGGAAGCAGCTAGGGACCCAGAGCAGTACCACAGTGGGACTTCAGCAGCAGTGCGGAAGCTGGAAGCCGAAGGCAGTGGCAGGAGCAGGAACCGGCTGCAAGGCGGCGAGAGCAAGCAGGCCAAGGCGATGGTGGGGATGACAGCGAACCCTAAGCAGGGGAGGTCGAGCCCTTGTGACGTGTGCAAGTCCAGCATGGCCAGCACATATGGACTGTGGCACTGAACTGTTAACTGTATTTTTGTTTTTCAACTTTTTAGTAAGACTGTAATCTTCAACTTTTTAAACTGTTCTCCTTATTTTTCTACTTTGTACTGAAGATTCTGTACCTAGGTACCTTTATACCCAAGATGGCGCTGTAAATAGCGACTTGTAAATTTTTCACTGTGCTCATGTGAGTACATGACAATCAACCTAATTCAATTCAATTCATATTAGCCCCAAAACCATGAGCTCCGACCTTGTTTAATAATCTTGTGTCTTTCGTTATTGAATGCCTTCTGGAAATTCAAACACACTACAGCTATCAGTTCCCTTTAACCAGACTGCTTGCCATATCCCTAAAGAACTCAAGCAAATGTGTCAAAAATTATTTCCCTTTCACAAAAGCATATTGATTGACTCTGTTTGACTGCATTAAGTTTTTCTAAATAGACTAGCATTTTGCCAATGGCAAATATTAGGCTAATTGGCCCATTGTTTCCTGCTTTGTCTCCCTCCCTTTGAAGGCAGCAACATACTATTTGTAGTTTTCTGATCCTCTGGATCTGTCCAGAAATGCAGGAAGTTCTAGAATATTTCAACCAATGCCTCCACTATCTTTGTAGCCACTTCCTTGAATATTGTTGGAAAAAGAATAGCAGATCTAGCAACTTGTCTGCTTTCAGTCCCATTAGTTTGTCAAATATTTTGTCTCATGATAGAAATGATTACATGACCTTTCCTTCCATTAACACCTTGTTTATATCTTTGGGATGTTTATAGAATTTTCCACTATGAAGACTGTTGCAAAATATCGATTTAAATTATCTGGATACTAAAAGGGGAGCCAAATAAACATTTTCTTGTGCAACTTCAGGAGTGATGTTTCCTCTGCTGACATTTAATTCAAGTAGGAACAGACAAATTAACTTGGGATCTTTCTGGACTGCAATATTCACATATACACTGTACAAACCTGCTAAAATACACTGGACCTTAATTCTTGGGAAAATGATGTTTGGCTTCTTAAAGTCTTGCTCATGTGGGGGCATGGATGAAATGTTGCCCAACGATATTTTATGTAATCAGGATTTTTTACACAAGCTCACCTGCTTCAGGATCTTCAAAATCTTCAACCTGCGCAAATTCATTTGGTCCTTCCTCCATTGGTGGCTCTTCTCTTTCAGCTGGCTCTTCTGTTTAATTATGAAAAAAAGAATGCACGTATTTCTAAAACTTGTATGAACGGTGACATTCAAAACTTGCATTCAGCTAATTTTGGGGACCCAGATTGCATTCTTGTGAAACTTTAACACCTTATTTGAAAGCATATCTGAAAAATATGGAGTTAAACCTATGGGCTTATTACCAACTCTCACCAAACCCTGTTAAATGATCACGTATTTACCGAACGACATGGTCTCTCATGTAGCATGTCTCAATGAGGAAATGTTTGAACCCTTCATGACCTTAAACGCAGTATTTCTGCCACTCATCCAGATCTTTGCATTTCTTCAATTCTGGCCTCTTACATTTTCCTGAATTTTATCACTACACCACTGGCAGCTTTGCTTTTTTATTGACAAGGCCCTAAAGCTCTGGAAACCCCTCCCAAAATTTCTCTGCCTCTTCGCTCCACACAACATACCTGTTTCTGGTTACTTCACCTCAAATCTCATGCAAAAGTTAACAATTTTTACTCGACGATGCTCCAGAGAAGCACCTTAGGATCTTAAAAAATATTTTAAAATATTAAATGTGCTCTATTGATGCAAGTTGCTTTGTATTTGAACATTAAAATCTCCCATTACTTGGTGTTCCTCATTCTCGTGTTCAACACTAGTCTACTACAAAACTAAAAAGCAAATACAAGTATCTTTTCATATTCAATTGAATTGGGTTGGCCTTTCGTAGGGTCCTTTGCAAGAAGAAGAACCAACTGTTGTGAATTCTTCACTGATATGATACCCAGAAATCACTTTTCTGAAAATGGATGCATTTTTAACTATGCAATAATCAGATTTACACACAATAAAAAGGGAGATTTTAAAAGAAAATAGATGATCCTTTATACATCTATTTAACTTCCTACAATGAGGGGGATGGCAAATAGAAACATGGAATTTTATAACCAATGATCTTTCAAATATATGACCATACATTTTTGGTATCGCTATAATCATTTGTTGTTTCTACTAAAGGTCTATCAAGTTTCCTATCTTAGTGATTTTACACTTTGTGTATCAATCTTGTTTAATTTTTGGAATAACAATGCTCCAAACAGCAAAAATACCAACCTGGTGTGTGTTTGAGGGGCTCCGGAGTCACATCTGCTCGCATTGATTCTGCTGCTTCTTTGTCAGCCTCTAAAAGAGCATACTTTTTCACAGAAACAACTTCAATTTAAACAGTCCTGTACTTAATAGTTAGTAATGGGACAAAATGTTACATAAAGTATTTCCTTTTTCTCTAATTTTTGATAATCCATTGCTAGACATTAATTCCAGGCTGAATAATCTTAATAAAGGTGAGTTACAATTCTGATAGTCAATTTAAGGTGAATAGCACTCGAATTCTTTCTCTGATTTCTAACTATCAGAAAAAAATTGTTAAATTTACACTGTTTACAATTCTTACAGAGATCAATTCTGTTGAATGCAGATGAGCAAATGACTGATGCGCAGCAAGAGGCAGAAGAGATTTATTGAAACAACAGAAACACAAAGAACAGAAGGGCCATACAGATGTCAGAAAACAGGCTTAAAGGCTTGGCTGGTTTTATCTAAGCAAACATTTCAAATAAATCGAATCAGAGATAGTAGGAACTGCAGATGCTGGAGAATCCGAGACAACAAGGTGCAGGGCTGGATGAACACAGCAGGCCAAGCAGCATCATAGGAGCAGAGAGGCTGACG